GTCAAATAAATAAATAAAATCTTAAAAAAAAAAAAAAAAAGAAATGGAGTACGTATGGGTGGCTCAGTCGGTTAAGCATCTGACTTTTGATTAAGACTGAAGTTGTCATCTCAGGGTCATGAGATCAGGCTCTGTGTTGGGCTCAGCAGGGAATCTGCTGGATAGTCTCTTTCTCCCTCTACCCCTCCCCTCCACTTGGGCACACACACCCTCTCTCTCTAAAAAACAAAAAATGAAAGACCTTCCCCACAAAGAAATTACAGGTCCACATGTTTTCACTGTAAATTCTATTAAGCATTTAAGGAAAATGTTTAATGCCAACTTTACCAAAAAACACTTTTAGAAAATAGAGGAGGAGGGAAATTTTCCTATTTCTTTTTATGAGAACAGCATAACCCTCACCACCAAAAACTGACAGACATTACAAGGAGAGAAAATTACAGATAAATATCAAATACAGAAACAGAAAAATGAATAACACATCCAAATACGGTTGATCCCAGTAACAATAACGTTATTCCCAAGAACAAAGGATTGGTTTAGTATTCCCAATCAATGTAATTCGTCATATTAACAAAATAAAGGATTAAAAAAATGATCACCTCAGTATAGAAGCAGAAAAAACATTTGACAAGATTTGGCACCATTCCTAACAAGTAATCTCAACAAACTCAGATGAAAAATGTGACTATCCTCATCTGATACATGGCATATATGAAAAAATCCACTACTAACAACATACTTCAGAGTAAAATGGAGAAATTCCCTCCCACCCACCCTTCCATGATCAGAAACAAGGCAACTATATCTGTTCTCACCACTTCTGTTAAACATCTTACCAGAACTTCTAGCCAGTCCAATAAAGCAAGAAAAATAAAATAAAATGCCTTAATAGTTGAAAGGAAGAAGCAAACATGTCTTTATTCACAGAGGACATAACAGCTTATATGGAAAATCCAAAGAAATCAATAAATAAGCTACTAGAACTAATAAATGAATTTAGCACAGTTTTTACATACAAAGTCAATATTAAAAATCAAATATATTTCTATATGCTAGCAGAAAAATAATTATGAAATGAAAATTTAAAAGGCAATCTCATTTTTTATTTTTTTAAAAGATTTTATTTATGTATTTGACAGACAGAGGTCACAAGTAGGCAGAGAGGTAGGCAGAGAGAGAGGAGGAAGCAGGCTCCCTGCTGAGCAGATAGCTCCATGTGGATCTCGATCCCAGAACCCTGGGATCATGACCTGAGCTGAAGGCAGAGGCTTTAACCCACTGAGCCACCCAGGCGCCCAGGCCATTCCATTTTTTAAAAAGCACCAAAACCACAAAATACTTAGAAATAAATTTAATAAGAGAAGCAATATCTCTACTCTGTAAGGAGAAAATTAAATACCTAAATACATAGTTATACCATGTTCATGAATCAGAAGGCTCATTATTAGGATAATGAGTCTGTAAATTATTATTAAGATAATTTATCTACAATTTTTTTCTCCTTTCTAGACCAAATTGGTCTATAAATTCATCACAATCCTACTCCCCATCACAATAAACTTTTTTTTTTTTTTTTTTTTTTTTTTTTTTTTTGCAGACATTGTTAAGTTGTGCCAAGTTTTTATGGAGATCCAAAGGAACTAGAGTGGTCAAAGCAGTCTTAAAAAAGAAGTTGCATTTCATTTCATTCCCAGTAGCACAGCTAAAATTGAAAAGACTAACACACCAAATATTGGCAAGAATGTGGAACAACTGGATCAGACTTTGCTTGTGGGACTGCAAAAACGTTAAAGCCTCTTTGGAAAACAACTTGGCTATTTCTTATCAAGTTAAACAACCCAATTAAAAATGAGCAAAAGTCTCGAATAGACACTTTATGAAACAAGATATAAGAATAACAGGTAAGTATGTCAGATAGACATACAAAAAGATGCTCCTTAGTCAACGGAGAAGCACACACTAAACTCACAATGAGAGAGTATTTCACACCCACTCACCTGGCTGAAATGAAAAAGACTTAACAACACCAAATGCTGGTAAAGCCATTTTCGGAAACAGTTTGGCTCTTTCCTATAAAGCTAAACACACATGGGGCGCCTGCGTGGCTCACTGGGTTAAGCCTCTGCCTTCAGCTCAGGTCATGATCTCAGGGTCCTGGGATTGAGCCCCGCATCAGGCTCTCTGCTCGGCGGGGAGCCTGCTTCCCCCTCTCTCTCTCTGCCTGCCTCTCTGCCTACCTGTGATCTCTCTCTCTCTATCCAATAAATAAACAAAATCTTTTTTAAAAATAATAAAAATAAAAATAAAGCTAAACACACAGCCTGACCTAGCAATTCAACCTGTGGATTAACCCAACGGAAATAAAAACTTATGTCCGCAGAAAGACATTTCAAGAATGTTCATGGAAGTTTTATTCTTAAAGCCAAAAACTAGAAACGGACCAAAGATCTAGCCACAGGACAACCCATAAATAAAATTGTGGCTACTTACACAATGGAATGACACCCAGTAATAAAAATGAATACATTATCAATACATATATAACAATATGAATAGGTCTCAAAAACATTTTATTAATTGCAACAAGCCACACGCAAGAGTAAATATTATGTGGTTCCATTTATATGAGGTTCAAGAATAGATAAAACTGATCTATGATGTTGGAAATCAGGACAGTGACGGCCAAGGGGTGAGAACATTCCAGAAGGTGATAGAAATGCATACATGTATCAAAACTCATCAAAGTGTACACGTGAGACAGGAGCATTTCAGAGTATGTAAATTTTATGTCAGAGGGAAAAAAAAGGATGTCTGGAGTCATGTCACCAATAATTTAAAACCTGGGAGCGACTTAGATATCTTCCAGTAGGGGTTTCATTAATAAAGTGTATACCCAAATTTTGCAGGCACTAAAAATAATGCTACAGAAAGCTATCTATTGACATGGAGAAATATGCATGGTAACTTATATGAATAAGAAAGTTATCAGAATAGTATAACCGGGGGCACCTGGGTGGCTCAGTGGGTTAAAGCCTCTGCCTTCGGCTCAGGTCATGATCCCAGGGTCCTGTGATCAAGCCCCACATTGAGCTCTCTGCTCAGCGGGGAGCCTGTTTCCCTTCCTCTCCCTCTGCCTGACTCTCTGCCTACTTGTGATCTCTGTCTGTCAAATAAATAAATAAAATCTAAAAAAAAAAAAAAAAAAAGAATAGTATAACCAATATGAGAGCACAGAATAGAAAGGTCTGGAAGCTTTTCACCAAAGCGAGGCTCAAGGTTACCTTGAGAGACATGATTCTGGGTGTGGTCACCTTTTCTACACTGAACGCGGACTTAACTTTTGCAATAAGAGAAAAACGTTTCTAAATAGATCCCTATTGTTCTAGACACTTAGACAGGATTCCTTCCCTTATTCATGGCAACTGTGATCTATAAAGTCACGGGATCCTGAATTAGGAAATAGTGAACCATGTTTCTAGGGAAGATACACGGTGAGACTCCTGCCAGCTTCTGGTCACAACATTTTTGTCAACTTGTTTTACATGTGAGGGGAGGAGTTCATCACTACCCACGCCTCCACCGGGAGGGGACAACCAGCAGCTCTGTGTATGGGGACGGGGTGGGGGGGATCCTCCTGGACTCTGTCCCATAGGCTTCTTCCCTTGGAGGATCTGAATCCGCACCTTTCGTCATAACAAACCATGAGCGTGAGCACAATAGATTTTTGGCTCTGTGAGTTTTTCCAGCGAAATATCAGAACTAAGGGCGGTCCTGGGCTCTCCAGTCAGCTCATCAAGACATCACTGTCTTGAATCCCCCTTTTTGAATCACTCGCTCAGTGAATTCCATCAAACACGTGCCCTTTACCTATTTGCGTGAGGTTTACGACTCAGACATCTGAGACTTACACTCTGTTTACTGGGTTGTTCCTTCAATAACGAGAACATGAAGAGAGATGAAAAACCGTCCGTACTTCAGCACTCAGTGGTTTCCAGGGGAGGGAGGAAAGAGGCCCTATTCGGGCCGGGCTCAGTTACCCTCAGAAGAAACAGTCTGCAGGGCGGCAAGTGGCAGTTTGCAGGGGTAGGGGTGGGCAGACATGAAAACACAAGGTTATCAACAGCTGAGGCAAGGATGGGGTCGGCGGGGGGGCGGGGGTACCCAGAGGCTCTGGGAGCTGAGAGAAGGACCCCGAAGCCTTCCCAGTGCTGAGCAAAGGCCTCCCAGGACCAGGCGCCTTCTACATCAGGAAAGACGGCACCGCCGGACCCGTTTGCTTTCCAGATCCTTCCTTCAGCTCCACTCTGGGCCACAGACCCACGGAAGCATCCTCATTACTAGCACTGTTCTGTAATTATCCTGTTATTTGTAACCCAAAGAATCTCAGGCAGCTTTCAATCAAAGCGTATACCTAACATATTACAACTTATTATCTGGGAGCGAGATGGGCTGTGAATCTGTTGGTGGGGCAGGACCTGCTTCCCCGTGCCGAGGGCACAGCCGGGATTTGCTGCGGGCCCACCCTGGCCTCCTCGGGCTCCAGAGGAAGGTTGGAACCGGGTCCGGGGGCTCAGAAGGAAGGCCTCAGCTCTAGGCCGTGTCCTCCCATCCTTGCCCTGGGCTCCAGCCAGGCAGAGGGCAGGACAATCAGTCCGCTGCCCGCCAGATCCATGTGCCCCGTTCCACGGTAGACGCGGCTCCCAGACTGGTGAAGAGAGACCCGGGAGCCCGCTCTGCCTGCCCCCATTCCCAGGTGAGAGCAGAAGAAAGAGGCTGTAAACTCTTTGTAAACTCAATCCCCTCCCCGAGGCCAGGATTCACGATTCTCCTCCACTCAATCAGTGCACCTAGGGTCCCCAGCTTGACGCCCATGGCAAGGTGGCAGCAACACACACAGGGACTCTTCAGCCCAGCCCAGCCGGTGCTCCGCCCCCTGCACCTTGCGCCCCCACCCTCGATTCCTGGATGCCCGGCCGTCCACACCCTGGCAGACTCACCCTCCTCGCAGTTGCTCCCGGTGAAGCCAGGACAGCATCTCCACTCCAGTGCCGTCACCGTGCGGTAGGACACTCTGTATGTGGGTCTGATCAGAGTCCTGTAACTAACACAAGGGCAGCATCAGGAGAGTGTGAGCGCCCAAGCACCTGCCTCCCCGATCCCACTTCTGCAGAGAGCACCCAGCCCAGGGTTCTGGGAGCTGCCCGGGTAGTGGAGCCTGTCATCCTGTCTCTGTGCCCACTGATTACGTAGCCCTGGGCAAGTGATCCCTCTTCTGTGTCTCCAAGCATGTCTCCAAGTCTCCAAGCATGGCCACCAAAGGTGGCAGGCGGGGGGCGGGGGGCGGAGGGAGAATGTCTGTCATGGACTGAGTTGTGTCCCCAGAATCCATAGGGTGAAGCCCTGCCCCACCCCCACCATGTGACCTTATTTGCATATAGGGTCTTTAGGAGGTAATTATGGTTTAATGAGGTCATAACAGTGGGGCCCCAACCCATCAGAACCAGTGGCCTTGTAAGGAGAGGAGGACACAGAAAGAGATCCCTTGAGTTCATGCACACACAGAAGAGAGGCCGGGTGGGAACCCAGTGAGAAGGTGGCCATCTGAGAAAACACGTTTCTGTTGTTGAAACCCCCAGTCTGTGATATTTCGCTATGGTAGCCTGAGCAAAGACATTGACCAAGACCATGAAGAAGGAAAACAAAACTATTGTTAGGACGTATGGAACTTCCAACCACCCAAAAGTTCCTGAACTCCAACACTTTGTCCCAATCACTTTCTTTGGCTGATTCATCCAGTGAACACTGATTGAGCACCAGCTACATGCAATACTGTAGTCAAAGACGGAGAGAACCGAGTCCCATCCTGGAGAAAATCACAGCATCGTGGATGAGAGAGACACACACCAATGAAAAACTCTCAGCCCCGTCAGGGGAATCTTTTCCCCTGAAAACTGCAGTGGATTCCAGGGCCAAATTTCACACTCCTGCAGTTTTGACATTTTTCTTGCCAAAAAGCTTAATACTATTTTATGAAACTCTGAGACATAAGATATGTGACCACACCACCATGAGCTATCACCTCACACCTGCCAGAATGGCAACGTGGCCATCAACAACACAAGATACAACAGGTGTGGGTGGCGATGCGGACAAAGGGAAACCCTCACGCAGCATTGGTGGGGCTGCCAACCGGTGCAGCTGCTGCGGGGAAATGGTACTACGATTCCTAAAAAAATTTAAAAAAGAACTCCCATTTGATCTAGCAACTCCGCTTCCGGGGATGGACCCAAGAAAAACAAAAACACTAATTCGAAAAGAGATCTGCACCCCCATGGTCATCATAGCCCTATTTACAAGAGCCAACCCATGGAAACAACCTCAGTGTCAATCGACAGAGGAACGGATAAGAAAACGGATAAGAAAACATAGCGGAATATTACAGAGCTATGAAAAAGGAGGAAATCTTGCCATTTGCGACAGCAATGGCTGAACCATGAGGGCATTACGCTAAGTGAAATAAGTCAAACAGAGAAAGATAATTACTGGATAATCTCACTTATACATGGCATCTAAAGGAAAAACAACCCAGGTCATAGATACAGACAGACTGATGGTTGCCAGAGTTTGGGGGGTAGGGGTGGAAGAAATGGGTGGGGGGGATCAAAAGGCAGAAACTTCCAGACACAAAATTAAATGTAAAGCTCCTGGGATGTAATGTGCAGCCTGGTGACTATAGTTAAGACCAAGTAGAATAGGGCACCTGGGTGGCTCAGTGGGTTAAGCCTCTGCCTTCAGCTCAGGTCATGATCTCAGGGTCCTGGGATTGAGCCCTGCATCAGACTCTCTGCTCAGCAGGGAAGCCTGCAGGCTCCCCCGGCCCCCCGCCCTGCCTGCCTCTCTGCCTACTTGTGATCTCTCTCTTTCAAATAAATAAATAAAAGTGGCATATATGAAAATGGCTAAGAGAGTAGAACTTCCAGTGCTTGTCCCAGGAAGAACAATTTTTATAACCGTGTGTGGTGACAGATGTTAACATACGTATTGTGGTGATCGTTTTGCAATACATATAAATATCAAATCAAATACTGTACACCTGAAACTAACAGAATGTGGAATGCCATACACACACACCTATGACCCAACCTCACACGGGGGACACACTTGGCTTTATTATTCGATTTCCATGTATCATCATAACTTCGCTGCTCGATCACGTCTGCACGGCTTTCTCCTCCGAGCAAAGCTACACGACTTCACAGAATCCAAGTCTGCTGACACCAAGCAACTTAATCGGTGAATGGGAAAATCATGAATTAATTGGTAGCAGCAGGCGTGACATTTCAAGATGCCCCGTTGACAGGAAAACACACAAGTTGCGTCTTGAATTTCAGAAATAGTACACTCCATCTGAACAATCCTGTTCCACTAATTTCTCTTAAAAAGAAAAAAAAAAAAGTCCTCTCGTTCATGTTTCATGAACATTCTGGCAAACCAGCTTTCCTCCTGGAGATCTAAGGGGGTTGGGGGGCGGTGGTGAGGTTGTGTGCAACCAGGGGCGGAAACTTCAAGTGAGAAGCCAGGAGTCTGCATGGAGAGACGTCCACGGTGGGACCAGGATGGCACACCCACATCTTAACACTCTGGCTGCCCCCGGAAGCTCTGTGCAGGCCAGAGGGCCAGGGCTGGCTGTGTCATCATCACCACTCCCCACTGGCAAGTGGCCTGGTGGGCCATTGTGGGCTGATGAGCCTGGGTCCCGAGAGCACAACTAGATAATAAACAGGTGATAATAACCACACACGCCCACAGTAACATACACACACCCTCCCGCATGCACACACAGGCTCCCACGCTTTCGTGTTCACACATGCACACACGCTCACGTGCTTGCACACACTCAACGCTCGGGCACTCGTTCACACCCTCACACCCTCATACCACCTTCCTGCAGCAGATCTCCCAGCTAGGAGAGGAAGGAGCTTTAATTTAGAGAAAAGATCCCAGTTCTCTCACTGATTCCTGGACTAAGATATTGCTCCGGCTTAGAGGGAGCAGAAAAGCTATGGCAGCCCCACCCGGGGCAGACGTGCAGGGCAGGAAAGGGGTCAAGTTACTTGCCGTTCACATCCTGCCCAGTGCAGCCGACGCCACCGACAGGTGCCTCCTGTGGATGGGCCCCTGGACTGTGGGGTCCGGGCTCTGCCCCTAACTCACGATATGGACTTGCACCATTACTTATGAGGACACCGCAGAGACCAGGATGCAGGGCGTGAGTCTCACTGGGAGGATGCGTGTGCAAGGCGTGCACAGCAGGAAGCATGTGCAGATGCTGGGTTTGCAAAATGCAGATCGGACCTCATTCCTCCCTGCCCAGGTCCTTCCACCGACCCCGCCCTCAGCCACAGGCAGCTCCTCCCCCTCCAGCCAGGCAAATGCACCAGGAGTCCCTCTGTGCACAGCCTGAATGATGATGATGATGGAAATAAAAATAGATATCCTAAGAGCTTTGAGTAGTCACCATGCACCAGGCACTCACTGTTCTGAGCGTTGGCCATGTGCTGACTCATAACAATCCTAATAGGGGGATATTATTACTGATCCTAATTTACAGATGAGAAAACCAAGGCACAGAGAAGTTAATTTAAGCAACTTTCTCAAGGTCACACTGCCAGAAGGTCATGGGACTAGGATCCAAACGCCGGCAGAACTGGCAGAAACTACCAACACTCATTCTTTTTATTCAGCACAATGGAATAGTTTCCCTCCCTACATCTGCACAAGATCGTGAGCTCAGGCTCTGAAACAGAGAGAAAGCTCGTCCCCCAGAGAAGGTCCCTTTCTGCCCCTCATTCTGAAAGTTCCATGGGTTGACCTGCCCCACTCTGGGACCAGAGGAACCCCATGACCGGTGATGTCCAGGACCAGGGTCCACCAGTAGATGGCGCTGCTTCACCAGCCCTGAGGGCCAGGGCTCAGCCTGGTAAACCCCTCAGATCTCTCCTGAGTGCCCTGGGCAGTGGGCAGTGTGAAAGCTGGCCCAGGCTGGGCTTCCCCCTTCTACATTTCATAAAGAACTCCCAGCCCATCCACTGGGGTCCGGTCTACAAACCCAGTGATCTTTCTAAAATGCAGATCCAATTTTGTGACTGCCCTTTCTCAAAACCTCCCATGGCTCCCATAGACTAAGGATTAAACTCTTTAAGTCAATAAAGAAGGCCCTGCTTTCTATATTCCCTTCCTTCTGCCACTCCCAGCCAAGGTTCCTACCACCACAGCTGAGCCTGCTCTTCCTGCCACTGGGCCTTTGCACATGCAGGTTCCTCTGCCTACCTGCCCTTCCTCCTTGACTCTGCCTGAGAAAAATTCCCAAAAGCTTTCAGGGTGTGGCTCACCTGTCCCATCCTCCTCGGTGAAGCACTCCCACTCCTGGCCAGCATCACTGGCTCCCTCCTGAGCCCTCCCGCAGCACCTTGGACAGAGCTTGATTTGAACCCATCACTGATCCGTGCCCTCAGCCATATGCACTGAGAGCCTGCTGAGTCCCAGACAATGGGAACACAAGCATGAAGAAGGTGGGCACAGCTCTGCTCTGCCACAGAACCACACACGTGAACAGATGACCACAGGCCACAGTTAAGTGCTATGAAGGGAAGCACGGAATTCACGCCTCACATTAAAATAGCATTTTTTTCTTTTTTACTAAAATATAATTTACATGCAGCAAAATAGATAAATCTAATGTTTAGCTTAACGAAATTTACCTATGTGTCCACCAACATTCCCAGCTCGAAAGTCCCCCGTGCCCCCTCCAAAATGACTACCCCACCCCCCTGGTGTATCCATCCTGATTTTTCTCCCCTGGAGATTAGTTTTGCTTGTTCTAGAATCTCATACACACGGGACCTCGCAGCATGAGCTGGCTTGTGCCCGCCTTCTTTTACTCAGCCTTAGCCCCTGGGGTTCATCTGTGTTAAGGGCATAAATAATATTCCAGTATAGAAAGGGGCCACAATGGGTCCATTCTCTTGTTGATGAACATTTGAGTGGCTTCTAGTCTCGAACTAGGATGGAGAAAGATGTGATGGGCTTTCCCGTACAAGT